CGGCCCCCCCCCCCCCATTTCGCCCGCAGGCTGGGACGGGCAGGCCCATGGAAAGGATAGCGAGGGGAGGGCAGCAGCTGCTCAAACAGAGCACGCCATAAGCAAAGAGGATGCCGATGTCCAGGGATGTTTTAATCTCCGCCGGCAGTGCGCCCCCTGAGACCTGCAGGAAATTGAAGATGTGGTACGGGAGCCAGCAGAGGAAAAAGGTCAGCATCAAGACAAGGAGGACCGAGTGGGGCTTCTCAGACGGACTGAAATGGCTTCTCCTCAGCGTGGCAGCTAGAAGAACGTAGCAAGTGACGACCAAGGCTAATGGGATGAGGAACCCAGCCAGGAAGTGGGTCGCCGCGCTGCCCATCGACCTTTCTGTCAGCGGGAGGCTCTCGGGGACGTGGTGCAGCCCGCCAGAGGCGACTTTCCAGGCTGAAGATGAGCTCATGGACTCCCACAGATCCTGGTACCGCAAGCTGAACGCAAGGGCCAGGAGCCACACGACCAGTATGGCGACGGAAGCCAGGCGGGGTGAGCTGCGGGCCCAGGGCCGCCCGGGGCAGGCCACGGAGATACAGTGCTCGGCGTTCATGAGAGTGAGCAGGAAAACCTTCGCGAACATGTTGAGTGAGGTGACGATAATGGTCAACTTGCGCAGAAAGTTGCCCAAGGGCCACTGCGAGTCCAGTGCTCTGGGCAGAACTCGGAAGGGGAGGAAGGAGGAGAAGATGAAGTCAGCAATGGCCAAGTTGAGGAACCATAGATCAGGGACTGTCTTCTTCCCCTGGAAGCCAGTGAGGAAGATGATGCAGCCGTTTCCCACCACGCCCAGGAGGAAGGCCAGGCCATAGACCATCAGGAAGACCAGGTGCATCATGTCCTCTGCTCCGAAGGCTGCCATCTAGGGGTTGGCTCAGGCAGTGCAGCCCTTGTACGGACCAAACAAAGAACAAATATCATGTCTCTGAAAAGCTTAACTCGGTCAGGAGAGATGGATGGGGGTGCTGGAATGATATATCGGGGTGGGGGGGGCGCTCAGAGCCATTGACCCAAACTGTAAATCTTGAATATGGAAAAAAACCCTTCAAGCCAGGGGTGCAGCCAATGGGTTGACAGCCACTGCGGGGCCTGAGGCAAGGTGAGTGTGTGGAGGAGGGTGGGGCAGTTCCACGCCCCCAGAAGGGGCAGGGCCAAGGGCAGTCAGCCCTTAGCTCTGCCCAGACCATGGCACTCTGCCCCCCATCCCCCAGCCCTCAGAGCCCTGCTGAGCACACTCCAGCAGCAATTCAAAGGGGCCCAAGTCTCCAGCCACTGCCTCATCTCTGGGCCTCAAGGCTACTGCCCCTTCCCCCCACACACATTGGCAGGCCTGGGTGCAGCCCCCCCCAGCACTCCTAGTTCTAGCACCTACATAAAAGGTTGGAGGTTGGGTAGCAAATTGTAAGTAACACCCACACTCTAGCTGAGTTCTGTTAAAAGCTCTAGAAAGCGCTAAGATGACCAAATAAAGTGCAAATTGCCTGTCTCCTCTAGAGTTTGTGGACCCATTTATGGACTGTGCCACCTAACAGAACTTCCTGGACATTTTTCATCACAAAGACTTTTCTGTGAAAAAAATAGCGGTTTCGTTGAAATCACACCACCTAGAAAAACAGGCCCATGTTGATCCAATTTCCTTTTTGAAAACAAAGCAAAGTTTTTCGGCATTTTTACTTAACAATGAAATTCATGAAGTTGCATAAAAAAGTGAATGTTCCACGAAGATCGACGTGGAAACAAAACATTCCAAAGGGCCTAAAACGAAGGGACTAGTCCGAATTTTCTTTCCCAGTAAAGTGGTGTTATTTGGTTTCGGTTCAGACTGGGATTCTTCTCCGTAGCCACAGCTTTTCCTGAGAGAGGAAATATTTGATTTTGCCCAAATCAAGTTGCTAATATGCATCAAAATAAGCCCCCTGTGTATCTTACTCCATGCCATCCCCGGGAAGGCCACTGAGCGTCCACCAGTGGTCCCCAACTTTTCAGGGCTGCCAGGCGCCTGGGGGCGGGGCTGCTCACATGCCGGGCATCCAGGGGCGGGGCCCATGGACGTATAGATGCATGGGTGGCCCTTGCCCCGGGCGCACGGCGCATGCACGGTGCCAGCACCCACATGCCCTGCGCCCAGGGCTGACACCGCGCATGTGACGTGCAGCCACACGCCCGGGGCCGGCCCAGATGATTCGGAGGGCACACATGAATGCCCCAGCGGGTGCCATGGCACCCGTGGACACCACGTTGGGGACCCCTGCTCCACAGGATTTATAAACACCTCTCAGCCGACTGAGGAAATGTTTGTATAAACTCCCCTCCGCAGCCGCGGTCCCGGCGGAGCTCGAGGTTCGAATAAACCCCAAGTCTGTGGATCTGACCAGGGCTTCTCAACCTCTTCCATGGACTGGGCAGTGTTTTAAGAGAGACCTGCCGGCTCATTGGCCATCGCCAGGTGAAAACTCCTCCCAGCTCCACTCGCATTGCCATTCATAGAATCATAGAACCATAGAGCTAGAAGAGACCTCAGGAGTTATCAAGACCTCTAGGCAGGACCAATCCCAACTAAATCAACCCGGCCAGGGCTTTGTCAAGCCGAGACTTACACACCTCTAGGGATGGAAACTCCACTGCTTCCCTCAGTATCCCATTCCAGTGCTTCACCACCCTCCTAGTGAAATAGTTTTTCCCATTGTCGCATGACACCCGGCTTCTCTCTCCTTCCCAGCCACCCAGCCACCACTGTCCCCACCCTCACCTTCCCTTGCCTAGCCCCACCTACTCCCACCACCCCTCACCAGACGTTGCCTCCCCTCTTGCTGGACCCCCACCTGCCTTCTGGTTTCCCCTTCACTGCCACCCATCTCCCCACCTGGCCTCCTTCACCTGACCCCCGTCTCCCGTCCCGTTTCCAGTCGCCCAGCCCCTCCCCCTCCCCGCCCTGTGGCTCCCCATTGTCTGGTCCTTGGCTCTCCCATTCAGAATGCCCGGGAGCATTGGTTCCAACAAAACGTCTTGCAGCAAACGGCCCATGTGCCTCTGGCTCCTGCTCCCAGGCTGAGCAGCTAGGAATACGACGGGTCGGCAAGACGTGACCAGCCAGCTGCGTGTCCACCACCAGCGAGGGCTCCCTACGGATCCAGCCTCCAATGCACGGAGGCCGGGTTGAGGGGTTAGATCCCTTCTTACCTGCGGGCTGCCGGGCTGTGGTTCAGGTTAATCTAAGAGGTAATCTCCTCTCGGGCCAGGATCCAGACAGCCGGCAGGACCTCACTCTGCACTGGGCAGGAAGCTGTTCTTGTGGGTTTCCAAAAGAGAAGGAAGGGATGTTCGTGGCGGAAAGTGTGTGTATGGGGGGATGGGGTTTGACAGTCTCATCTGTGTGTTACAGGCAGGCAGATGTCCTGAGCACACGGGCTGCTCAGTCGCACCCCGCTCTAAACCATGCACCCCGAACCCCTCCCAGAGCCAGGGAGAGAACCCAGGAGTCCCAGGAGTTAGGGCTTTAACTCCCCGTGCAGCACCGAGCGCGGGACCAGGCATCCTGACTCGCAGCCTCTCCTCTTCCCTCACACCTGCTGCGCATCTTCCTAAAAGGTACTTAACAGCCCAAAGTGAAGACGTGGGCTTGCTGCAGAGGCGTCCGGCGCGGCTCTTTGGCCCGTGCCACGCATGAAGCCAGACTACACGGCACTTTCTGTGCTCAAAATCTATTAAGTGCTAGGCCCCCAGAAACCAAACGCAGACCTCCTGGTGGCAGCCTCACTGGATTTCAGGGCTTAGCCTCAGAAACCCTTGCGGCTGGGTACAGAACAGGATTGGGATACTATGAGACCAGCTCTAATTAGGCTGCTGCACAAGTCGTGGCTGATTGTACTCAGGATCCACAGCGTCAACAGAGAAACAGCCCCTAGGAAGGGATTATAGACCCATGGCTGATGTGCAGATAGTGACTAAGGAAAAGGGATCGACTCCTTCCCAGAACACAAGAACCAGGAGCCACCACAGGAAATGAATAGCGAGCCGGTTTAATACAAACCAAAGGCAGTATGTCTTCAGATAACCTGTGGAACTCCTTGCTGGAGGATGTTGTGAAGGCCAGGATGTTAACAGAGTTCAAAAAAGAACCAGATAAATTCATGGAGGTTAGGTCCATTGATGGCTGTTAGCCAGGCTGGGCAGGGAGGGTGTCCCTAGCCTCTGTTTGCCAGAAGCTGGGAATGGGCGACAGGGGGATCCCTTGATGAGTCTTTTTTCTGTTCATTCCCTCTGGGGCACCGGGCCTTGGCCACTGTCAGAAGGCAGGACACTGGGCTAGATGGGCCTTTGGCCTGACTCAGTCTGGCTATTCTGATGTTCTTAATGAGACCTCTTTTTGCTTCCCTGAACATGGCGTCTCTCACCAGCAAGTGGGCTGCCGGAGGGCTTGTGTGAGGAGGGCAGCCAGCAGAGCAG